GGAAAGAGAAAAGTGTAAAATTACTTTTTTTTTTATTTTTTTATATATAAATACCAAAAATAGTTTAACAACAGTTAACCGTATTATTTATAAGTTGACAATTTATAAATAACTTCACCAACACTATCAACAGTTTTTTAAACTATAAATATTTAGTTAATCACAGTGTCAACTTTAAAATAAAAATACAAGTGGGACGAATAACTTTTTTTTTTTTTTGAGGAAAAGAAAAATAAAATTAGAATATAGCAAAATAAAGAAACTAATATTTATCATTTGCCCCGAAACAATAATATAAGAGAGCCATAGAAGTGATATTCGTTTCTCTAAACCTCGAAGTAAGCGTCCAATTTTTCGTTTATTCCCCTTTCTGATATTCTCGGCAAACAAGAAATCGATCAAACTTATGCGTTCATCAGTTCCACTCATATAATAATAATAATCATATATACATATGTGAATGTTTTACAAACCATAATCTATATCTATAATTTATATAATAAAGTATCAATTCACATATTGATAAAATGACTCATAACAACAGAAAAACTGATCAAAGACTAACGAAAGAGAAAACAAAAACAGATAAATTTCCCCATGAAAAAAAATTCACAAAGTAGAACACCAAGAATGAAAAAACCACGTAGCAGTTCATATTTCAAAGGCAAAGAAGTGCAGAAATGAAAGGAAATTGATTAGTTGCAATCATCAAATGGGGTTGATCAATAAATGAGAATCAAACAATTGCGAAAGAATAGCTCACTTTGCACTTATCACACACACAACTCTATTGTAATATTTTCTACGGATTAAAAAAACAAAATATTATTGTGATCAAAATAAGTACCTGAAAGATCAAAATTGGAGAAGAGAATTGAAGAAGATGATCAAAAAGCATAAGGCAATAATAACAAACTGAGTCACCCTTTATCTTGGACAGGCTTTGATTATTCCTTGCCATTACAATGTTCTCTCACAAAAAGAACAAAAGACATAGATATATATGGTTGTTACTTGGTGCATGTGTTTGTTGGTTGTGTTTAAAAGTGAATATAATAAAGATGAGAGACACTAAGACTAATTGTTGTGAGACAGCGACATAGAGGTGGCCAAGGTTGCTTTTCGGTGGTTTTTTCTTAGCTTTTTCCTTCTTTTTCTCCCGCCGTAACCTTAAGCTTCATGCACTTTCTTCCCTTTCCCAATTCTTCTATCTTTCAAGCTAAACTTAACTATTCATCAATCATCCCCCACAACACAACTCTTTAATATTCATTGCATTTTTTTATACGAATATTCATTGCATTTATTCCTCCACTTTTACAAATGTTATCTCACATATAGATATATAAATAAGTTTTTCCCTTTTACGTATGTACTCGATAAGTAATTTTTTATTCGGTACAAAAAGTGATATCTAATAATAATATATTCCTAAACCTATTGATCTACTTAAGTCCATTGACTTGTTTATAAGTCTTGTATAAGATGGGCTAAATAAATAAGTTTTCGGTTCAGACTAAAATATCTACAAGTTTTATATAAGACAAATTATGTAAATAAGCTTTCGACTCAAACTAAGTTTTAAAAATAGACATGTTCTGTAAATTTAATTATACTAAATTAAAGAGATTTAATTCATTGGCATGCTAGCATGAATAACATGATTTTTTTCAGAGATTTGGAAAGGAATCAATTGTATAAAGGTAAACTGATTAATGGGTGTTTTTATAATACAAAAGGAAGAACAGCAAGCAGGCATGCTGGTATGGGGGTTGGTGACATGAGGATAGTAATGATGCATGTACCATCCAGGCATTAAATGAGTTTAAAGATAGATTCTATAGTGTTTGTTTCACGCCGAACTTAATGATTGATTTCATGCCACAAATTATTATGTTTTTGGTAGTAATAACAATAATGATGGATTGCTATGATTTTTGTTGCCTGCATGTAGCCAAATGGAACCATGACTTTTGACGTTTGTAAAAGGTTGTTGAATTTATTCTTCCCAATTTGACTTCTCGATCTTACGAATAAATTTCCAAATTCTTACCAAATTGTACGTTATAATATGAAATTAAAGTTAAATATTTTTCATCCAGTGTATAAATTAACTGACGTAAGTTTTTTACTTCGGCTTCTCTAAAGTAAATAATATATTCATTTGAAGAAAAAAAAATATCAACCATTAATAAAATTAACTGTACATATTATGTCTAATAAAAAAGCCTATAGATATTATGTGTAGACATATCACTACAAGAAAATATTGAAATAATTGAAAAAAAAATAAGCGATAGTTAATAACCGATATAAATACTGTCAGAAAGTGTTAATATTTTTGACACTAAATTTAAATTGAGTTTAGTATTAAATAAGTTGACGCTATTTCTTTAGATATAATGTTGAATTTTTTTATATTAATTTAAATTAAGTTAGTATCAAAAAAAAGCTGACGCTATATATAAAAAATAGTATCGACTTTTCTGATACTAAACTTAATTTAAATTTAGTGTCAAAAAAGTTGACGTTATATCTTAAAATAGCATCGACTTTTTCGATAATATACGTGCTTTGAGAGAGATAAAAAGAATTTTTTTTCAATCTTATATATATATGCATAATGTGTTGTGGTGCACTTGATTATCAGGTTCACTTAAGATGTCATGATTCCAAGATCGAATCTCGAGAATGTTAAAATTATGAATGAATTTTGTATTGACTTAGTATCGAATAAATTTGTTACCGATGACTTAATCAATACAAAAAAAAATGGTGTCATTTCGACTTATTTAACGTTTTTATTATATAAACATTTTTGTAGTATACATAAAAAAAAACGTAAATATTATTTTTTGTTTTTGGAAAAAAATCATATTCTTTTTGTTAAAATAATATTTTGAATACAATGAAGAATCTCATTATAAATAATTCTCACAATTAAAAAAATTAAAAAATCTATTTAGAAATGAGTTATCAAATCACTTTCTCTTCTATTATATTGAACAATAATTAATAAAAGGAAAAGATCTCATAATCTATAAAATTTGATTAGAAATCATGTCACACTCAATAATATATTTCTCATTACTATATGAATTAAATTCACTATCAATTTGTGATCTTACTTAATAATCATATAATGAAATTAGTGACTGTAGAATCAATAAGAGTATGTAATTAATATAACACTTGTTTCATCCTCTTTTATTGGATATTGTTCTTACAAAGGTCATTCTTACTTAAAAAAAACACCTATTTCATTCTTTAATAAACTCTAGTTTTAGTGATGTCTTTCTCAATTAAAAAGTTACATTACAATTACACTTCAATTTGCCTAATAGTTCAGAGAACCCACATATTTAAGGAAGATTTCATAACTTCCACATGATGTGCTTGTTATTCATCAATATTTTACATTTTGTTAGTATTTAACCAATTTACAAGAGCAAATTTTGCTGAATTCATTCATGTTTGTTCATAAATAAGATTGTTACTTTTTTTATTATTAATAATTTGAAATTATTTTATTTTATTATGAAATATTATAACCTCGACAATGTATATTCTATGTAATGTAATAAGTAATGATGTAAGAAATTAAACAAAACATCATTTTTTTTTATTTGGCTTCTCTAAAGTAATATCAATCATTAATAATAAAATTAACTATAGATACCATGTGAATATACATAAATTAATTATTAATGAATGTATTTCTAGTAGGAAAAAAGTAATTTCAATTAGTAAGATCGTTATTTTCATTATTATTAACTAGCAGAAAAAAAAAGGTATTTCGTATTTCTGTGAAAAAATAAATGTATATTTTATATATAAAAGAATAAGTGAGTAATTATTATTTTTAAAGAGAATAGTTGTTATATGTATACATATATATATAATTTTATTTTTTCTTATTTTTTCCTTAAAAGATATATGTGAGAAAAAAATTTAAAATACAATAGTTTTAAAAAACATAGACACCAAATAATATAATAACTGAGATTACTTTTTTTGACCAATAAATATAACAATAATAAAGATCCAACCTAAATTCTTGTATGTTTATCCAATCCTTTTCTATTGAACAGATATAGTGGTTTTAATGACCGAAATTACTTGTTTATATATTCACTTTTTGAAAAGCCAAATCCCCACTGAAAATTTTGTTAATTTGTGCTCATTTTAATTTTCTTTCACATGAGAATATCAAACAGAATTTTGTTCCGTCCTTGGATAATTCTAGCGTGGTACGGGAAGAAAAGGTTCCTTTAAAACTAGTGGATTTCTGCACTGAAAGCACATTGTCCATCCATTATTGTTTCATCTTCTTAAAGGAAAAATAAAAAGGGTGGTCCATTTGGCTTCAACTCTGCCACCATCTTTTCCCTCCATACGCACACATTAACATCAAGAATGCCATAAAGGAATGTTTGCTTCTTTTCAACGCTCGTTTTTCTTGCCATAGAATAACTCAAAAAATGCAACCAAATCATATATATGGATTTATAAGAGTATTAGCCTCAGATTAGGGTCATCACATATAAAATATTATGGTCTCTTTGATACTCATTAGACCATTATGTGTTTATCTTTAAAAGATACTTCAATAAGCTAAAAAGAATAAGTGTTTCTACACGATCATTGACTTGACTCCTAATTGATGTAAAACTTTTAAGTGTATTGGCTTAACATAAACATTTATAAATATATATAAGATCGGAATTCTAGTTTCTTCTATGAGTTATACTTATACTTAAATATATTTATCTATACATTATATACATATATTAACAGTCCTCTTGATTTTACATGCAGACATATAAGTGTTTTTCTTTTTAATCTGTTTTAATTACTCTTTTTGAAAATAGTTTTCAGTTTTCCTAAATTAAAAAATTGGAAAAAAAAATTGTTTAATTGGTAATAAATTTTATAAAAACTGTTTTTAAATGTTTGATTTTATGTACCGGTATATATATATATATATATATATATAACTTGTCTCAATGTTCATAGAATATCATATATATGCATGTTATGTAATAATTTGAACTGAATAATTAAAATTGAATTTGATGACTGGTCCATCACGCATCATCCAAACATGACTTAACCCAAATATTAATATAAGACAAACAAAAAGGAATTTATCTTTTAAAAAGGGGTGAAGCTGATAACAATAACGTGTACATGTATAACTCACATAAAGACCACTACGGAATTGAGGACGGCAAATACATGTACAAAAAGTAAAGATACATGAAACTTGAAAAGAAGATGTGGTAGAGTAATAAACCACGTACCCAACAAAGTTCTTTTTTGGATCTTCTTTGCTTACCATTGAATAAACTATAACATATATATATATCTTGATGTCTTTTTTAATCCTTTGACGCCAAAACGTTTAGTCCTATGCTGTGAATAATGCTAAGAAATACAGCAAGTAGAAGATATATCTATCTTCAAACACTTACAAAAACTATAGTATAGTATATCGATGAACAAAGTTACAAAAAGATGTCAAGTGTTATCTTAGTTAATTAGTTTAATATTTGCTTAACAAAGATTAAATAGTTAGTTACATATAGTAACCAATAGTATAATGCACTATTGTTTTAAATGGAGTGCTACACGAGTTTTCTCTTGAAGCTTTTAATGTTATTAAGTAATGATATTGTATGTGAGTATATATAACGTTGAATTTATAGATAATCAAATATGGTGTTGAATTTTCAAAACAAAACAATGGTACGTGAGAATATATGTGTTTCTATCGAAGATTGTAATGATGAATTTATAGATAATCAGTTAATGCATATTAGAGATTACAATATGATATGTATCTTTCACACATAATATATGAAAGTGGATTTTAATTAGATATTGATTGTCAAGTGGAGTAGTCATAATATATTTTGATTACGTACTCTTTTATTGTATGTTTAAAATTTTGGTATAGGACTTAAGAAATATAATTAATATGTTTTGATTCTAACAAAAAATCATATAATTTTTTAATATAACTTTAAATCTTTTAGATTTCCACAATAAAATAAATATTGGAAAAAAATACATTCTTTCATGCATTAATAATGATTAAACTATAATAGAAAAGAAATATTATCTCATTATACTTTTTGAATAATCAAATAATATATATATATATATATATATATATATAGTAGTGCAACATTTTCCAATGTAGACTTAAGATGCTGCTTTTTACCAAATTATTTACACAAATAAATCATTATACGTTACTCACAACTTAATTTCTTTGAGAATCACTTACTAGTAATTAGCAAACTTCTCATGCACTAGACTTTTTGATTTGAGACTTCATTCTCAATTTTGTCCAAGTACAATCGTGTACGAATCACTTACCCTCAATTTATCTTTACGCGTAAATCAAAATAAAATTTTATATTTTTATCATACCTTTAGGATAAAATGTATATGAAAGCTTCAAAAGTTCACGTAGCATTGTCTAAGAAACATGTTTGTATTGGTCATCATGTGGCTCCCCAAGTCTAAGGAGAGCGATGACATCTAAACAGAATGAAAATGATTTTGTGTCTTCGCCTGTCGCACAATTTACCTGTTAGGATGACCCACTTGTGTCGGATAAATCATAAAACTTTGGGAAAAAAACAAAACAACCGAAAGACATTTCTAGCAAAAGAAGAAAAGGGATGAATAAACTAAATTCACTATGACGTGATTCAAGTTTCCAAAGATTTGTTTGTTTTTTTTTAAAGAGGTTAAATGACCTAAGATTAATCTATGCTCAGTTCAATTATTTTTTCAGTTCATTTTGCAGAATAAGAAACAAAATTGACATTCCCATGAACCACATTTTAGTTTGGATCATGCATGCTAAACGACAACATATTTCCCATTTTAATAGGATTTTAATAATCTTTAAACGAAATTGAAATAATGAAGCTAATAAAGTTTTTTAATCATATTTTTATTATTATTTATTTTTTAGATTTGAAATAATAATTAAAGTAAAAATATTGACAATAGAATTATTAAATAAATATTTGATATTAAATTATCAAACGACTCAAATAATATGTTAAGTAATTATTATTAGAAATGGATTAAGCCCAACTTAATCCTAAAAATTAGTTCAAGGATGACTCAATTTTAAAAAGTATTTTGACTATATTTCTAGTCGGATCAACCGTATTATTGGGTATTATATGGTTTAGATTATCTAATAATTTCTTGTGTCTTACGTATATTTTTTTATCAAAAACAATTTTGCTCCAGACATGTAGAATTATAAGTATTTCAAATACATGTTTTTTATCAAATATTTTTTCATTTTTAAATTAATTCGCATTTTTTCCGTTAAACGTGTTTACTTTATATCGTAAAATTTTGTTTGTTATAAAAAATTGTTGTTTCCTAAATGTTTTACCTAATATTAGCCGAATAAGGTTTTGAAGTTTTTTTTTATTTGTTTTGGCCCAGAATTAAAAGCTGAAAAGCAGCAACAATAGCGGCCCAACAATAAAGGCCCAACTAAATCATATGATAAACTCGTATTCATTCTACTAATATTAGATTCGTACCTACCTATATCATATGATACACGGTTTATCTATACCTATTATAAAAGGGATATATTTTAGTAACCACCCTTTTGATCTCTACTTTTTAATGGACCTTTATATCCTTGAATGTAAAAAAAAAATCTTATATCTTATATTTGTCTATGTATAATTATTAGAGGCACGAAATGCCTTGACCCCTATAGTTATTAATAGAGGAGATTATCTCATTTAATGCCCACATTTTTTTTTTACAATTTTACCTTTATAAATACCTTTTACAAACTATAGTTTTTTTTTGGTTTTTTTATAACTCTTAATATTTTTAATAATCACCCATTATTATATTGGGTTATGGATTGTCATAATATCGCTTAACATAATATTGGGTTATGGATTGTCATAACTCGCTTTAACCAATCATAGTGTGTGTTTAGTTCAAATTTTGAACATGATTTATCACGTCAAAATAGAAGCTATCAGTTGTAAGTTTTGCATTCTAAACGTGATTTTTGATTCAATTCATGTTTTGGACATGTTACCAAACATGCACATAGTCTTATTTTAATAAATTGGATTATTTGATATTTAATTGATTATACAAATAAAAATTTATGACAAAAATAAATATAAAATATAATAATATTAAAAAATAAATATACACTAATTTATTTAAATTATTAAAAAAATTGTAAATAATATTAGAACACACTTTTAAATTTTCATTTTTAATATAAAAATTAAAACTTTTAATTCCCTATAATGTAACTCTTGAAATTGTTATATATAAATGATTATAAAAAAAATCAATTTTAAAAAATATACTTCAATATACTTTAAAGATTGATTTTAACTTTTATCAATAGTTATTGCAAATAACATAATTAATGAAAACTATTTTTGTTAAAATTTAAATGAAATGTTAACATTCGAAGGGTTAATATATATCTTAATACTAATTTAAGTACCTTATATGACCTTTTCTTTTACAATATATTTTCTCAATTTTGTAATTATCAATTATGGCTTTAATATCTACAAAATTGATAATTGATTATGAATTTAAAATTACTTTAGTTTTTCTTCAGCTTGGAAACTTATTAATATTAAAATAGGTTTGTCTTTTATTGTGGTTGCTTTTATGTATGATGATAATAAGGTTGAGGAATATTCTATAAGATGTTGAATTAAATTGAAATATACAAAATAAAATAAAATAAAATAAATATTAATAAAAAAAATAGAATGACAAATAACTCGTAAGAATTAAATATAAACAAAAATTAACGATATTTTGATACAAATATCTATTTTGATATATTTTAATATTGATAAAAAAATTGACATTATCAGAACAAAAATTATTTTGATATTATCAAAGTTTTAAATCTATAATAAACATATTCATTAAAATAAATATATTAAATTTGACGTTATCAAAATCAAAGACATAATGATAAAAACTTTTATCAGTTATTTTTCTTTCTTTTAGGTCAATTTTTTTTCACAAAATCAATGCTATCAAACAATTAGTAAAACTAACGAAAAAGGAATTTTGTCACTATGTGGGTTATCAAAAGTCAATAATTCTAAGTCGTATACTTTGGTTCCTAGTGTGTGAAAACTAAGAAAATTAGTCGATTTCTGTACCGTCCCGGTCAGAATCCGATCCAACCCATCTATACTAACTCTAGTTAGTTCTCTCATTGTATATAAGTTCAACTTCTCTATATTTCTAAATGCATTCAATATTCTTCAGACTCAATATAATTCACTCTCTGTTAGTTTCTCTCAACATGGAGTTTTGAGTGGTAATAGAAATTGAGTTCAAATTTTTCTGTCAAAAGCTCTAAATTCTCTCTTTGGAGAATTTACTCCTTATGAATGTTTATCAAGAAATTCCTCCTTGTGACAAATTCTTCAACTCTTTCTTATCTTCATTGTG